TCGGCCTCAGAGGTGGACCACTCATGCTCATCGTCTTACTCTAGGCCAGTGGTGGTGAACCTATGGCACGCGAGCTGCAGTGGGCATGCAGAGCCCTCTCTGTGGGCATGTGAGCCAAGTCGCCCCAGCATCGCCCCAGCAGCCGGGCATCGGATAACAGCGCACATGGGGGCCATGCGCATGCTTGGAAAGGAGTAGTGGCGCCAGGTGATGCCATCATGAGCCACGACTAATTAGCCATAACTTGCCCGAGCTTTTGCATGGCCGGTCAGTGCACTGCTTGTATCACTGAAAGCTCTTTTACTGTGTTTTTCTTTTAAGACAAAAGATGTTTATGTATGAGTTGTTTTTTCCTAAACTAAAACCTCAGTATTCAGGTTTTATTGCAGTGTTGGCACTTTGTGATAAATAAGTGGGTTTTGGGCTACAGTTTGGGCACTCGGTCTCCCAAAGATTTGCCATCACTGCTCTAGGTGAAAGCCAGGACAAGAAGGTTGCAGGGAAAGAAGGAAGGAGATAGTAAAATCCTTCACTTTTCTTGAAGATGAGGTTTCTGCATCCAGATCCTGCAAAAGTGTCATTGTGTGGTATCATGGGTAGCCCTGCTTTGTATAGTAGACCTACTGAAATGGCTGGCGCTTGACTTACACTAATGTTGTGTTTAAGTGTTGCGGAAAACTTAATTCTGGCAGGTGTGCCTTCTTTTGTCACTTTAACTCTGATGGGAAAATGTAGCAAATGGTGTGATTATTTTTAAAATTTTATTTAAAAGTTTGTTGTTGTTAGTCGCGAAGTCATGTCCGATCCATCGCAACCCCATCGACAACATGCCTCCAGGCCCTCCTGTCCTCCACCATCCCCCAGAATCCACTCAAGCTCACACCAACTGCTTCAGTGACTCCATCTAGCCACCTCATCCTCTGCCATCCCCTTCTTCTTTTGCCATCTATTGTTCCCAGCATTAGGCTCTTCTCCAGGGAGTCTTTCCTTCTCATTAGGTGGCCAAAGTATTTGAGTTTCATCTTCAGGATCTGGCCTTCTAAAGAGCAGTTAGGGTTGATCTCCTCTAAGACTGACCGGTTTGATTGCCTTGCGGTCCAAGGGACTAGCAGAAGTCTCTTCCAAGGCCTCAATTCTTTGGGGCTTAGCCTTCTTTGTGGTCCAACTTACACAACCATACATTGCAACTGGGAAAACCATAGCCTTGACTATACGCACTTTTGTTGGCAGGGTGATCTCTGCTTTTTATTATGCTCTCTAGATTTGCCATAACTTTCCTCCCAAGAAGCAAACATCTTTTAATTTCTTGGCTGCAATCCCCATCTGTGGTGATCTTGGAACCCAGGAAAATAATATCTGTCACTACCTCCATTTCTTCCCCATCTATTTGCCAGGAAGTAAGAGGACTGGATGCCATGATCTTAGTTTTCGTAATGTTGAGTTTCAAGCAAACTTTTGCACTCTCCTCCTTCACCCGCATCAAGAGGCTCTTTAGTTTCTCTTCACTTTCTGCCTTTAGAGTGGTATCATCTGCATATCTGAGGTTGTTGACATTTCTCCCAGCAATCTTAATTCCAACTGGTGATTCATCTAACCCCGCCTTTCTCATGATGTGCTCTGCATATAAGTTAAATAGACAGGGCGACAGTATACAGCCTAGCTGAACTCCTTTCTCAATTTTGAACCAATCAGTGGTTCCGTGTCCAGTTCTCACTGTTGCTTCTTGACCTGCATATAAGTTTCTCAAGAGACAAATAAGATGTTCTAGTACTCCCATCTCTTCAAGAACCTGCCACAGTTTGTTGTGATCCACACAATCAAAGGCTTTAGCATAGTAAATGAAGCAGAAGTAGATGTTTTTCTGGAACTCCCTAGCTTTCTTCATGATCCAGCGTATGTTGGCAATTTGATCTCTAGTTCCTCTCCCTCTTCGAAATCCTGCCTGTACTTCTGGTAGTTCTCGGTCCAAATACTGCTGGAGCCTAGCTTGTAGGAATTTGAGCATAACTTTGCTAGCATGTGAAATGAGTGCAATGGTGCGGTAGTTTGAACATTCTTTGGCATTGCCCTTCTTGTAAACTGACCTTTTCCAATCCTGCGGCCACTGTAGAGTTTTCCAAATTTGCTGGCATATTGAGTGTAGCACTTTTACTGCATCGTCTTTTAGGGTTTTGAATAGCTCAGCTGGAATACTGTCACCTCGACTAGCTTTGTTGTTGCTCAGACTTCCTAAGGCCCATTTGACTTCACATTCCAGGATGTCTGGCTCGAGGTCAGTGACCACCCCACCGTGGTTATCAGGGACATTAAGCTCTTTCTTGTATAGCTCTTCTGTGTAATCTTGCCACCTCTTCTTAATCTCTTCTGCCTCTGTCAGGTCCCTGCCATTTTGGTCCTTTATCATGCCCATCTTTGCATGAAATGTTTCCTTCATATCTCCAATTTTCTTGAAGAGATCTCGGGTCCTCCCTATTCTATTGTTTTCTTCTATTTCTTTGCACTGAGATAAGAAGGCATTCTTATCTCTTCTAGCTATTATCTGGAATTCTGCTTCATTTGGGTGATATCTTTCTCTTTCTCCCTTGCCTTTCACTTCCCTTCTTTCCTCAGCTATTTGTAAAGCTTCCTCAGACAGCCATTTTTCTTTCTTGCATTTCTTTTTCTTTGGGATGGTTTTAGTTGCTACCTCTTGTACAATATTTAAAAGTACAAGTATAAAGATTAACATACAGTAAAAATAATTGTTGCATTACTGTGCTCTCCAGTATCCAGACCAAAGATACATGTCATAGGGAAAGAAAAAACAAACAAACCCAAAACCTTGAAATACTTTAGGACATTCCCCACCCCCCTTCCAAAACTGTAATGATTCTTTTGATGGCTCAAATCCTTTCCTTTTTAGAAAACATAGTCCAATCACAGTAGACTTATTATTACATGCCCTTTTCTCACTTTAAGATCACATGCTAATTTGTCATTAATAGCTATGTTCCAGACTTCTGTATACCAATCAGAAAACTGCTATTTTATCTTCCAATTCTTAGCTATAATTAGTCTCACTGCAGTTATTAAATTAGTTATTATTTCTTTGTTATTCGAACTGCATTGTTGTTAATCAAGCATCTTGGGGCATATGTCAATATTTAAACTTAATATATTACTTCTTCTTTTAACAACCTCTTTCCAGAATTCCATTATATGTTAACATTCACACCACATATGAGTGAAACAGGAGCCCCTTTGGCCAATATCTAGCAGTGGCAGCCATACTGACCACCTGTAACTAATATTTCCTGAAGAGAACAGTTCATGCCATTATATGCGCAGGAGATATATCATGAATTTATAGAACTGGCACAAGGCAGAAACTTTTATTAAATCATATTATTTAAGTAAAATCTAGAGTACACAGAGAGTGGTTGTTACCAGCTATAATGTAAAGGACCCAGAGTGATTTCCTTTCCCCTCCAGTCTATTTTCCTTCAGTGCAGACATTTTGAGCAAACTTGTTCAGCCCCAAAGCACTTTTTGTGCAGGTGGTCGCTTCACGTACGACACAATTCATCAACGGCAGTGGGAAGTTACATTGCATACTAACTTCCTTATAGACATTTCATATAGAATTAAGAGGCTCTGATATAATAAAACCTAAGTGAAATTAATGAAGTTTGCACTATTTTATTTTTATTTATTTAGTTTATGCCCATATACTGGGCTTTTAATTCAAATACGTTTTTCTTAGTTTTTAAAAATGAGTGTAGATGAATGTTCAGTTTAATAAAATGATCCATCCTCCCCTGCTCCCTCCCGGCCGAAAGCGCATCTTGAAGAGGAGGTGCGCTGATGATACTGATGATGCAGTGAAATGCGCATGTCTGCATGTTCAAATTCTAAGGCTGCTGTACACACAAAATGACCACGCATGCAGTTGTACTGCTAGAAGGGCCACAATCCCAGGAGAAGTCTCCAAAGGCTGTTTCTCCATGGAAGAAAATGGTTATTAGCAACCAGTACTTTGTGCAAGTGAAAAATATATTTTATATTGCATACAAGATTGCTGACAATTTCAATACTAGGGATTAAAAATGTATTTTTACATCTCTTGTGAAAGCACCCTGCAGTGTATCCTGTATTAGTCCTATTTAGAGTAGACCCATTGAAATGAATAGCACTTATGTTAGATTCACATTGGAGACACACATCGAAGTAATTTCATTAGAAGTTAATGCAAAATAAGGTGAATGCATTTTAAACTTGGCCAATAGGGGAAGGCAATAATATTCACATACTTAAAAAAAACTAGCTGTTAAACAACTTGCTTACATGAAATTCAATTACGAAAATGATATTAGTATTCTAACATGTCTCATTATGCATTGGATTTTGATATATTCTGAGCAGGGAGAGAATGGGAAGCAGGATTATCATTATTGTTGTTATTATTTGTAGTAGTAATAGTAGTAGTGCTTTCTAAGCAACAGAGTACTCCGACCACCCTTTCTAGATCTAGTTATGAGGACTAGAAACTTACTATAATGTATACTTAGAATGTGGGCAGGCTTATACATTGCCCTGCAAATATAAACAAGTGATTTTTCCAAGTTCAGGATCAGGGGTCCAGGAGCAGATTTCAGACCATCCCAAGAGGTATTATGCGTATTTACTTGGGAGTAAGAGCCACTATGCTCAAGGGGGCCTGGTCCTCAAGAGCATGCACAAGATTGCCGCCCATTTGGAAGTAAGGCTCCCTTGAATACAGCAGATCTTACTACAAATAAACATGCATAGGATTATGCTGTCAGACGTGCTGGGTTTTGTCAGTTCATTTGCAAATGCAAGATACTGCACTTGTATTAATGAAAAGGATGCATTCTGTACAAGTTCACCTTCTCATAGCACCTAAATCCTAATCCAAGTTTGCTGATCATCAGTTGTATATGATAAACTTCCTGTTGTGAGGCTCCGGCTTTGATGCATTTTCCCTGTCCTTTTTTTTGCAGGTCCCAGAGCCAGTAGAAAATTGCACGAATGAAGGAGAGCTGGAAGAAGACCGGAGTTCTTCTAGCCCAAGTACATTAGAGCTGGAGATACGTGGATCAGGCCAGGAAACAGATGAAGACTATTTTGAGACCCAGTCCCATCAGAGCGAATCACTGTCAGATATCAAGACAGAGCCTTATGAAAGCGCCTCAGACTCGGAGTCTGTTGCCAGCGATGTAACAAAAGAAACCAGCCTGAGCTCATGCTGCCTTTCTTCAGAAGAACCATGGCCTAAGTCTCCTGAAACAGAAGCAGAAGTAGCTGCCTCCAAGCCTAAATGCCCAAGTCAGCTGGAATGTGTGGAAAAGGAAGTAGTGGAACTGCCATCTGTTTTACACATTGCAGCAAGGAAAGGTGAATTGGAGGTAGTTGCACCACGATCAAAACCGGAAGAATTCAGTGGGGGAGAGGGACACTTACCTTGCAGTATTACCTTTGCAGGATCAGATACCAGTGAAGAGGGATTTGTCTCACAGATGAAGGCCATGTTGGTAGCAGAAGCAAAGTCGATAAACAAAGAGGGAGACTTCGATATTTGCTCAAAAAATCTCACTGAAGGTGCTGTTGTCAAAGGCAACACAAGTAAAGAAGCAACAACAGTTGCTAGTCTCAGAGCAAACTCTGAGAACTCTCTGCGTTTCCTTGACATTTGGCATTCTCCTGCTCCCTCTGAAACAGTTTCAAGATATAGTTTGCCTAATATTCACTTAGAATCAAACAGAATGTGGAAAAGAAACTGTGAAGCATCCGAAGTTAGGTATAAGCAAGATGATATACCTAACACCAAATGCAACAGGAAAAACTTTACTGGCAGTCAAAAACCCACAGATGCGAACTTGTGTGGGAGAAAAGTGGAGGCCACAGCTATGTCCTGTTTGAAATCTGCATTTCAGACATCTTCCACAAGGCCAGGGGTCCTAGAAATGAAATCATGGCACAGCTTACCTGAGAACATAAGTACACAAGAGGTCAAAGAGCATGCCAGTGATTGTATTTGTCTAGCAGAGAAGTTAAGTGGGCCATGCTCCAGATTTTCCCTAGAAGTGTCTGATTATGAATGTGCAAGGGAAAACCTAGAAAGATGTGGGAACTGCCCGCAAAATTTCTTGAAGATGGGAAGAGGCATAGGTATTGGAGGTTCACTTCTTAATATTCATCTGGCCTCAAATAAGAGCCAGTTGATGCGCGCAACAACCTCCTACTGGGCTACCAGTAAGAATTTGCACAATAATCCCAAGGTCTACGGCCTTACAACAGAAAAAGCAGATTCATTTCAGTGTTTGTCTTTGGCACTATCCCAGCTTCCAGATCCCACAGTGAATAAATCCAGGCAGGAGACTTCTTCATCTCTGGAGTGTGTCCCAACAAACATTAATGCCAAAGTAGTGTTTGAAAAAGATCCGTCTGCAACAGTAGATGAGACAGAAATTAAAGGGTACCTTCAGGATCTTAGCTTTGAATCCAACATGCATGATGCTAAAGGCCCAGAAAATTTACTAGGTGGATGTATCATGGCGGATAAATATGAGAATAGCTGTGGCATCTTTGCTTCTGTTGCCAGGGGAAAGGTAAACATGGAGAGAAAATGCCTTGAAAATCAAAACACTGATGCCTTTGTAGAAGCATCTGAGGGGAGAGTCAAATCTGGACTCAATCTAGGTGGGGGAGCATCAGATGAGATTCTGGCATCAAGTGGGAAAGATTTCACAGAAAAAGAGGCATCTGGGCTTCAGAATGCGAGCAAGACAGCCAGTGCCTTAAAATGTCCGTCAAAACAGGAGAGGACAAATGGGCATCTCATGAGTACAGAAAGGCAGGACTGTTATTGTGGTAGTGGTGAAAATGACTCTGCTTTGGGACCAAAGCCACTTCACATTTGCCAGGGGGAAAAGTCAGAGTTGAAACCTCTGTTGATTCAATCTCTTGGTCAGAAAGAAGTAGAATCAGAGAAGATGGATGGTGAGAACTACTTGGCTGATTTAACTGCTGAGAATGTAGATTCTCATCTCATCCCCACAAGAGATGCCAGAGAAGCACAGGAAGTTCCAAACACACAGTATTGTTGTGCAAATGACATTTTACCTGCACAGGTGATGTCAGGCTGTGAAAGTCAGTTCCATGTTAGGATGGCCATTCAAGAAAGCACAAAAACCGTACTCAAGGAAGCAGAAACGACTGTTCTGGATTCCTCTTCAGTGGTTGTACCTACAAATCCTACAGGTGCTAGTATGGAGAACAATTCCTGTAGGAACAATTTAATTCTGAAAAGTGCTATATTATCTCAGAATGAAGAGGGAAGTACAGATGGCTTGTTCTCAGAACCATGTGGAATAAAGGGGGAGATATTTCTGATACAGCCCTGCCAAATGAAAGCTGGTTCTGCCTTGGAAACAGCACACGTAGAAAATCAATCATTTGAAATGACAGGGCATGCAGTGGTGGTTGAACCTCTGACCACAAATGTGGAGCAAGACACTTGTGTAGCCACTGCAAGAGCACAGGAAAGGAAAAGTGACCTGTGCCAAGATGCCACTGCTGGTGATAAGACCCATGGGAATCATATAGACAGTAAGCAAATTCTTGAGAAAGGAGACACTAAAAATTGTGATAAACCCCATGGGAAGACAGAACTCAACACGGACATTCCTGAAAAAGATCCAGGGTGCATTACCCAAGGCTGTGAATGGAAGACAAACTCAGATAACTGTGATTCTCTGATGAAAATGGACAGCCAAGATAATAGCACATCAGGTCTAGATAATATCAGCATGGGCAGTACAAACAGTGAGGAGATGGATGAGAACCTGCTTAACTTTCTGGGTTGTAACAGTAGTTTTTATAAGGCAGTGCAGAGAAACAATAAGGTTGTGGTCACAGAGAAGCCTGCCAAGCATTCAAAATTTTTAGCCTTTTCAAAAATGGCATCCTTCAGAAAGACTAAGCTAACATCTGCTGAAATTCAAGACAGTGTCAAGACCAAGACGGAGAGCTTAGATGGTGATAAACAGGATGAGCTGGAAGAGGGCTTGAAGTCCGTCAGTTCACCCAGCTCTGCTTCCCAGAGCAAGGAGCACTGCCTTGCAGAGTATTCAGATGATGACGATGATTTATTCTATGAACGACCAGTAGGATTGTTCAATAGGATTAGCCTGAGGAAGGCGTCTGGTTCTGGGCGCACACTTCTGGAAGGCGTGGGCACAGGTTCTTCTCCTCTACTGGCCAAGATGAAATGCTCTGAAGGAAAAGCTTTAGGTTCCGCAGAGAATAACAGCACTGAGTCTGTGGAGTACCCTGAACTCAGGAAATCGTCATCTGAGAACGATTTTAAGAGAAACAAAAACACAGAGAGTAAAAAATTCAAGAATCGACTGGCTTTGGCCCACCGTTCCTTCTCAAGTTTCTTTGAATCTAAAACCCTTGAGAAGGAGAACACTGAACAGAGTTCAAAGGTTGCAATGAAAAATGAAAAAGGCAAATCACCCCAAACATCCTGGAAAGCATTTCTGAAAAGCAAGGAGGCAGATGGTCTGAAACGCTCCGCTTTAAGCAATTCTCTTCCAGCACAGCAGACTCCTTGCTCTAGCAGGAGCCCTGGCAGCTTTGCGAGAAGAACATCCAAGGAAAAGCAAGAAAATCGCAATGGACAAGTTTTTCTGAAATCAAGTGTGCCTAATGGCTCATCTGCAGAGGCTGGGCACTCCGATTCCTCTGGGACTGGTGAATTTCTACCTATGGACACAAGGGTGAGCAGGAGAGAATCATCTCACGAACTCACTTTAAAGTGTCCACATTGCCCAGACTGCAATGGGAAAGAGGAAGCAATGAGCCAGGATGGGGACACTTCCTTTGATGAATTCTGGCTGAAAGCTCCCATTAGCCCAATAGATCTCCAGTCGTCATTTTCTCATTTCGCTCCCTCTTGCCCCCAGTTGTCCATGTATGAACGTAAAGATATGCCATGCAGGCCTATGAGCCCCAAGCCACAGAGTCCTCGGACTAGTTCTCAGCGCAAGGGTTTCCATTACCCAGGAAGATTAAACTCCACTTCAATGATCTCTCTTGGAAACATCTCTGTGATCGATGGCGCTTTGGAGGCACCCGAGAGGCCAAAGACCTTGAAGCCCAGGTCTAGCTTCTTGCAGTCAATGCACTCATTAGATAATGACTATCTAAGAGAGGACAGTGGCATAAGCAGCCAGTCACAGATCAGCTTAACCACAGCTTCTTCAGTGAGTGATATCAGAGATGAGGTGAGTTGCTTTGTAATAGGATGGTGCCTGGTGCTTTAGCTCCAAGGGCAGGACCATTTGAAAACACCAGTGCTGTTTCTTAAAGGGCCTGATTCAACTCTTCTTCCTGAAGAAAGTCCGCTTTCAAATGTAGGGCAGCAGAGTGGGAATTTGGATGTCCTGCTGAGCCTTTTTGCATCTTGAGGCAATTCTAGGATCGTGCACAGGGGGGTCCCTGTGACATCAGAAATGATTATCTGTGTCACTTTACCACAGCCTTCCCCTGAATTGGATGGGAATTTGGGATTGGAATGACAACCCTGCCACGGTTCTCTGTGGCTGTGCCAATGTTTTTCCCCTTCTATGATGCCAGCTTGATTGTGCTAGCCACAGCCCCATAACTTATAGCAATAAAGTGGCACAGACATTAAAAGTGATGGCTCAGCCAACGTCATGCGAATAAAGCCAAATAAAGCAGACACCATTCAAACAACAGGAGCCCTTTCTCCCTCCAAGGATGTGTTATGCTGATATTTGTGGGGATGATGAAAACACTTTTTTGTTCTCTAGCAGTCATGGAAATTGCAGCAGCGTGTTTCTGTGTCGTGCCAACTCTGTGCAGGCCCATGTGACAGATTTCTGTAGGATGTTATGTAGGGATTCATGCAAAATCCTATCAGAGCAGTGGGGGAGCACACATCTGGCTTGCATGTGTGAAACAGAGCTTTGCCCAGAAAGTGTTGCAATGAGAGGGAGATACTGCAGTATCTCTGGGGAGGCAGCAGCTGCATCAATCACGTCCGAGTTCGAAAACAAAAATCTGAAAATCGCTGTACGAAGAGAGTGTGTAAGCATAAAACTGAAGAGGAGCCATGCAATAGTTAAATTCAATTTTACTATGCCCTCTGGAGGCAGTTTTTAATATTGCAAGGTAGTTGTGCAATACAGAACTGTTGCGAACTGCCCTGAAAGCTTTGGCTATTGGATGATGTAGAAATGGGACAAATAAATAAATCAATAAACAATAAAATGGCCTCCTCATGTTTAGATCAGCTGGGTTTTCAAGAGCACACAGAATATGCCTAGGGTAACAGTCTAAGTCACTTTCATGGCAAAGTGTTGCCTCCCTTCTGCCTTGGAGGGTTTACCTGGCTCTGGAGCCTGCCATGAGCGGCCATTGCAAGTATCCCAAAATGCCACAAATGGTTCCATGTGAGAGGCCAAGTGGTGCTTTTGCCAGGCGTGGGGACCCAGCCAGGGTCAGGCCTGGATATTTGCTCCTTGGGGTGAATGTGAGCCTGCTTATTATCACCACAGGCTGATGCAAATCAATGCCCTGCCGAGTTTCATTTAGACTGCAGTGTCTGTGCAGAAAATACCTGGGAATCAGGTGGCAGGCTGTGTTTGCAAGGCACAGGAAGGACCGAGTTCCTTGCAAGAGGAAGAAAGGCAGGATATAAATGTATTGCCATAACAGCAACAAGAGTAATAACAATACTTGGAAGGGCAGATGTGCATAAGAGCAGAGGAAGCTCGCTTACCCTGAGTTGGACCACTGGCCCATCTAACCCGGTGGTGATGGCTGCTCACTGACTGGCAGCGGCTCTCCAGGATGCGTTCCTAGCCCTCCATGGAGATGCTGGGGTCAGGCCTGGGACCTTCCGCAGGCAACTCTTTCCTGAGCTATGGTTCTCCACCACACGCGTAGCCTGACATCCTCGCTGCAGCATGCTTGTTTTGCAGTCAGTGCAGCTGCCCGGCATACTAGACCAACCAACTGCCCAACCAACCAAGCTTTTTGTTTTTACTGATTACTTATGAAACAGGAGAATATCCAACCAAGTCAATTCCCGTCAGAAAAGAGGCCCGGTGAAAAACGTGGTCTCCATTGCAGAAAGCGGTCTACTCAGCTGCTGCTCTCTCCACACTCATTCTCAAGCATAGAGGACAAAGCCTGGGTGCTTCCCTTGCATGTTCAGGAGGGGAAAGCAAAGGAGCCTGCCCAGAGGAAGAGGCACAGACCCTTATACAAGCGTTTCAGCTTTGATGACACATGGATGGAAAGGAATCGGAAAAGGAAGCTTGTGAAAGAGACGCAGTCAGACAGAGAGAATGAATCGAGTGTTCTCCCAGGGGATCAGTTGAAAGTAAGGAACCAATGCTAATCTGGCTGCATCTCTCTACCGCTGTCTTCTCCCTTTAACCAGTTCTGCTACTTCCTTTGTTTCTAACCGTGTGTGGCAGTTACATGTGCATTGAGGCTCGCCCATGCAATGAATGACCTTTCTTTAAAGAGGGGTCTTCTCCACTGCATCTCTTCTCTTATGCATTATACCCTGGAAATGGGGTGAGTGGGTCAAACATGTTCCAAAATACAAAGAATGTGGATGAAAGCTGTATTGGAGGCAGCATTATTCCCCTTGGGTTGCCATGGACATCCAATACTAGGTGCCTCTTTCTCCTTTGAGAACTTTCATATTAAACCTTCTTCAGGGCTTCTGATGCATACAAAGTAGCTTTCATTCTTTATTAATAATATTCACTACCCTTTCCAATTTTACTCTGCTTTCTCTTTAAGCTCACAGGGCCAAGTTCTGACTGCAGTCTTGAGACTGTGTAAAAACATTTTTTCTTTAGTCCGAGCTAAGTATCTCTTTAATGGCGTGTTAACACCTTTTTTGTAGGTTAAAAGAAGACCATCCATTAATTCATCAGTGGCCTTCAGTGGGCTTCCACTCAAGTTGCATATCTATTCCCAGAGCACACCCACTGGATTAGACGGCATGGGACTCAGGCAGCCAATCTCCTTTCCTGGTATGAGTGCATTACTGTTTAATTGACATCCGATTTCTGACCGTTTGTTTATCATTTCATGTTCCTTTCTTTTCATTGGAAATTGACTGGTGATGTCATTTCTACCCTCCTCAGCTCCTTTGAATCATATTATAGATTCTGGATTCTGCCCATTCTAGGGGGGGCGGGGGCACATTTGAGAGATGTGGAAAAAAATGACTTCCAAGGGGCCTTGCAAAATCTCTTGCTCTGTTTGTTGTTTGTTGTATTTGTGAATTATATATCCAGTGTTTAAGGCAAGGAAGGCTGTCTGCTGTCAGCTTGTTCTAATATAAAATTTTCACACTTTTACAGAAGGTTGTAATTACAGTGTGATTTTGATATACTGAAACGTGGTCTTTGTAAGGCACCGTTTTGAATGTTGTTCTGCATGGGCTATTTTGTGGCAGATCTTATTTGTGGCAGATCTTACTGACCACAGCTTTGTGGCCTGTATACATTTATATATTTGACCTGTACCACACCTTCCTACCAACATATGAGAGAGAGGGAGAGGGAGAGGGAGAGGGAGAGGGAGAGGGGGAGAGAGAGAGGCCTTCTTTAGCCTGAAGGTGGCCACCAAGAAGTCCCTTCTGCCTTTGCCACCAAGCACACCTCTGAAGGTGACAGCATCAAAGGAAGGGCTGCTCTTGAAGAACTTAAGATGAGGACAAGGTTGTATGGAAGAAAGGGACTTGCTGCTGTTTCGCTCACCAAACGTTCCCAGGACATAAAGCATGCAGTACTTACATAGCTGCATTTTGTTTACTCTAGCAGGAGGGTGGAAGAGGTAAGTTGCAATTTGTAATAGTTAACTTCATTTTCAGATATTGAGATTGAACATGGGTGGAGGTACAGCTTAAAAATACCAAATAGACAGTCAAATCAATTGCTTCTCAACAGATCTCCCAAGAGAAGAAGCATCTTTAAAATGCTTACACAGCCCAAACTCAACACTCTCCCTCTGACTGACAACATGATAACCACATTCAAGGGCTGAGCATGAATTCAGTGTAGGTTATTGTTGATGTTTGGTTATCACGTTGTCTGAACTCAGTTGAGATAATAAACCATGATGAACAACTCCTGGTTCACAGTTCAACAAATGGGTACTTTCATGGTTTGTTCATGGCTGACAGCAATGCCTTGTCAGATGACAAGATAATCCATAGTTCATTGGCATCCCACACTTAACCCACGCTTAAGGGTTGCTTGTGGGTCATCATTTTGTCCGAACCCAGTCTCTACCTCACTTGGGGTGTGTCCAGACAGGGCTTGTATTGTGTAATCATCTTGCCTCATTGACAGAATTGTCAGTCACTCGGACATTGTCATCTTCCATGTCCACAAAAATATCCGTGGAAGTTTATGCCAGAATAAGTTTTTGAGCTTTGAGGCGCCACGAGATTCTTTGTTGTCTTAGCTGCAACTCACTAGCTTAGGAAACAGAAAATGAATGTGGCTGTATTTCTCTTTCTCCTGAAATACAACAAAACTGAGAAACAAAAGCTTTTGCTGAATAAGACGCACCCGAAAAGCCATTGACACAACAGGTAGATGCCAAAACAGTGTTCTGTGCATTAAGTACTTTGTGTTGTGCCCACAGCAGTTTCTCAGATTCCCAAATGTGCCCCAAAAGAATGGGAGCTCTGGCTCTTCTCTCCTTTAGTTTGTAGTTGTTTAAATGGAAAGAACTGATTAAAAAATCAGTATTATTAAAAGATATATAGAGATTGGCCTATAGGTGGTGCCCCAGCTTTCAAAAGCCTTTGGGTGTGTTTCTTGAAAGGGAAGCTCTGGGAAGGATTTGCTTGCTATTTTGTGTTTCTGTTTTTGCATTGCTAAAACCTCATTTGCAGGCAAAAGTGTTTTCTGGGAATGATGTACGTTGCTTCACTGCCTATACCTTAAGCTGTAACGTGGAACATGACATCCAGCTCCACCGGCCACATGCAAAATGAGACTAGGCCTCCTCTGCCCCACGTGGGATGCTCACTGGAGGTTGGATCCCTAGACCTGCCATTCCTCTATCCCAAAAAAGACATATGCCATACTATTATATATACAGATATACATATTAGTATATTGTTATGGTTGTCCCCTCCCCAGATTTCTTATGCATACAGCTGCATCTGCAGCAACAACGTAACCTGGAGCTCCTCTCCCTTTGGAGCACATTTGGGAATTTGAGAAACTGCTGTGGGCACAACACGGGATGCCTCATCAGTAATAATAGTTCTTGATCTATTTCTGAGAACCTTGCCTTGCATTTTTTCAGAGGAAAAAAATAAATTCCAAATGAAGTTTACATTTACAGGGAACCACATGAAAATGTTATGGCCACAAGCAGTTTGTCAGCTTTCCGTCCTTCCCAATTTATTACTGCACTTCTGACTTTATCAGTGTGTTCTTTGTTGTACCTGGGCTGGCATATTGTGTCTGGTTTTTGTGATTAATCTTTTTTAAAGGACCAGACATATTAAAGGAGAATGCCAAAGATGCGTTATTCACATACCTGAATCAAAGCACCTCTGAACTTAGTGGGACTTGTTTATGAGCAAGCATGAATAAGATTGCGCTGAAAACGTTTTAGGCTAGACCACATATGAAAATGGGGCAGGCTATGGGAACGGAAACAATTTAATGGAAGGCATTAAAGGCATTCCATATCACAGTGATCACTTGGAGGGCACTGCTATGAAAGCTCTCAGTGTGTCATAACGAGCAGGCCAAGGTGATGCATAACCCATATGTGGATCTTGGCTGAGTCCTGCATGGCCCATGAACTGAGTAGCATCCCATCAGCTTTCCCTCCACAGCCCAGTTGATTCCCACCAGAGTCTTCCCAGCCTGCGCTTGAGAAAATATGTATTGAACATTTTTAATGGTCTGATTAAGTTTGTCAGCAAGCCTAGGTGTTGAGCAGGCAATTTGGAGATTGATTTGCTTTCAGGGTTGCTGGATCATGCAAAAAAACTTAGCTTTCCCTCTCCCTAGCTTGGAATAAAAGCAGTAGCAAAGCTGATTTAGCTTAAATCTTGGTCTGTTTCAGATAGTGACGAACTGCTCAATGGCAAAAAGCATTAGCAAGGTTATGGAGCTGTGTGGACCTAGAGAGGATATAGTGCTTCTAATAGCATCATTTGAAAGGAATTCTGGTAAAGAATATTGCATAAATGATACAGCGACATATGTTCCACATTCAGTGCATGATCATATTATTTATCTATTGCATTTATGCCAAATAATGTTCCATATTGCCCTGTCCAAAAATATTCAGATGGCATTTGACTCTAACCATAAAGTAAATCTATCAACTTATCAAAAACACACTGAAAGAAAACTGAGTTCCCTAAAAATATGCACAACTACAGAAGAATAATGTCATACATTAATTTTAAGAACAATACAGGAGGTACTACTGGCAAGATGCTGAGCTGATGGGGCAAACAGATCACCAGATGGGGTCTATCAGTGTTGACAGGCATGGGGCCATGGTACATTAGTAGTGAATGGTTTCTTAGAGGGAAGGAACTCAGCCTTGAAGAGGTGAGGGAAGCTCTGGTTTCAGCGATAAATTACCTCTGCTCCCATTGACTAAATCACTTGCATTGGAGAAACTTTGCTTGAGAGATTGAGGAATCTTTGTCAGCATGCTGTAGTAGAAAAATGTTATGTGACCAAGTCATGGAAGAGTGCACCAATGATTTCTGAAGCTTTGCAAATGAAAGTGTCACTTCTTGACGACTGAAAGGAGTCATTCAGTGAAGGAAGTCAGGCTTGCAGTCGGTGGATTTGCAAACTAGCTTTCTTTGCTATTATAACATGGCACATTTGTGGCCATGTTATATCAGCATAGTTGCAAGCTGAAGGAAAGTTGATATGTGATTAGGTCAGCAGTGGGAAAGTTCAGAAAGTGAAACAGCAACCTTTTCAAAAGAAGCTGATTCAAAGCAACTTGTTTCATCTCCTGTTCTGTACAACCCTTCAAATGTCAGAATGAAGGACATGAAAAGGTAGGATCTTACTGTGAAGAAATGGCTGCATCCCTGTATCAGCTGCTTTACCAGAGGCTTAGTAGAGCTTTCTCTGGAGCTACATCAAAGAAATAAATAAAAATTAAAAATAGGTTAATTGCTTGGATTTATATTAAATGAAAATAAGTGGTGTCACTGTGAATCTCTTCCATCTTGCTCTGTGTATTTTTGTGCTACATTGCTTGGCCAATAGGAATTAGTGAGCAATGATGCCATCTGTTGCTATGATGATAATGATGAGGGCAGTAAAGGCTGAAGGCTAGAAGCAGCCAATTCTGTGGCTGCTCTTGCCAGGGAACTCTATGGTGTCTCCACACAAACAGTGATAAAATAGTTATGTTAGGTCTACGTGCCAGAGAAGCCACAATGAAGTGTGGAAACCTTAGAACAGGCCATTGATTTTCTCCGTGGTTTCAGAAAACTAATGCTGCCAGACAAGAACTCTAGAACTGAGTCTGGAGGACACAACAGACCCACAATTGTAGGATTTTGCCATGACTTCATGTGCTGTGTGAATGTGTCCATTACATATTGTCTTTGTTTGAAACGATGTTGCCAGTCAGGAGGTTGTTACACAACCATGGTGCCACAACCAAGAAGGCCCCATCTGTTGTGACCAGCCACTTCGTCCTCTGAAGATGGCGGGACATGCTGCAGAGCTTTGGTGCTGAATTCAGCATTTGCCTGGAGAGGGCAGCCCTTAAACTGCTCAGGGGCTCAACCTTCAAAATTAGCTCTTTGAACAGAGCCACAAAACACTGTAGCAATGGTAAAGATGACATCATTGCCATCTCTTATGCTGACTCGTAACTGCCAGCTAGCAATCTGGCTGCTACACTTCGAATGCATCTTAGTGTCTGAGCCATGCTGTAAGGCAGGCCCATGCAGAGTACAGCCTGCAGCCTAATCTGTAGTTAAGTGAGGCATGGCTAGCCCTTCCCTGGG